CTTTTTAAAAAACTTTGTGCCTACTAGGCTACTTTGTAAAGAATTCTGCTTCGCCTGCTGAGACCAGAGGCCAGAGAAAGGAAAGCAGCTGAATCGGACCCAAGTTACAGAGTCGCTTAGGGTCATCTCCTCTTCCTTCACAAATCCCCAGCTCCCGTCAGCAGAAGGGCCGGCGTCCACCACTCAGGGGGCAGGGCCAACCCATGCTCTTACTTGTGTAAATTCTGGGCAGACTGTCTTACTGTGAATTACAGGGTCAACAGCCCCATGTAAACAAGACATGTGGATGTTTTATCTTGACTCAGATTTGGTACACACAATACTGGATTTTAAATCATTTCTAATCTTTTTCTTCTAAAACTCTTTAAATACAGGCGAAGGTGTTGAGAATTCTCATCTAACAGATTTATAGTGTTTCTCTTTTATATCCAAGTTTTAGGCCCACATTGAACTTATCTTTCAAACAAATGATGTCTTTCTTAAACCCTTTTTTGGTTTTTGCTCCGTCTTTATAGTGGGGAGGCTTAAGAGTTATATGCAGCTTACTGAAGACTGATTGATTCCCTGCTGGCCTCTAGGACACACAGCACAGCAGGACATTGAGATCCACTTTAAACACTCTTTAGGGACGTGGTTATAGGTGCTCGGTGTTTTATAATCATAGTTATGTCATCTCATTGTTCACAGTGCTATTAATTAACCTTCTCTAGAGCTGGCTTGAGAATCTCAGGTGTTGAGTGGTTTTGGATTTTCTGCTGTTCTGTAGAATTGTGAGAATCATTTCTTAATGCAGCACTCCTCGTAAGTTTTTAAATTACTAGACTATTTGGAGGGGGGCTTTAGAACTTCAATGTAGTATAAAACTGCTAGGGTTTGTTTTTTTCTTGAAATTATGTTTGCCTTGGTTTAACTAGCATTGACATAGGTGGTAGTAGCCATAGCAAGGAAAAGACCACTGTTCACAGTTCTTGTCCCCACAATTACCAAAGGTTTTTACATAAATGATTATAAGCTAATATGTATTGATGTTTATTTTATATCAGTGTCTTTCATGTCTTGCAAGATAAATCATCCATGCCTTCTCAGGCTTTGACCAGTAACAGATGAGAGTAGGTAAAATGAAAGGATGGCAGGTACCAGAACAATCTACAGCATATAAAGAGGGAGACGACTGTTGCTCTGAAATGATCATTTTTGTCTAAGCATCTTCAGTCTATTCAGTAGGTAAATTTCTAAACAAACATCTTTACTCCCGTAATCACTTAGATTTCTTTCCAGTCTCATTCTATCCTATGTAAATCCTCCGTTCAGTACTCAGTGACAAGTTAGTTTTATATTCGAATCATGAGAATATTTAATACTGATTTAAAAATAATAATAGTTGCAGGTGAATGGCATCCACCTTAGTAAATGTTCCAAATCAGAAAATCTTGGTTTCCAGTCTATATAGTCCAGAGCTTGCTGACAAGCTGGTCAATTGTTGACTAACTCTGGGTAATGAACAACAGTCTGTGGCCCCTGGATCTACCATCATGTTGTCGCAAATTCTGTCAGCTCTGGATTGGAAGTGTTTTGGTTCAGGTGATTACACTTGTATAAAATCTCGCTTTTTTCTTTTTCTCTTAAAAATGAGCAAAGTCATTCCTACTTCACAGACTTGCTGTGGAGGCTCGAATAATGTGTTGCAGACACAGTGTTTCACACACCAATGATCAGACATTTACAATACTAAATCTCCTTTAAAGGGTATATTTGTGTGGGTATATTAAAACATAAAACTTAATTTGGGGAACTGGAGCAATAATTCAGTCAATAAAATTCTCTTCATGAAAGCATGAGAACCTGAGTTTGATGTCTCAGAGTCTATATGAACGTTAACTAGGGAGGAGCATGCCCAACCTGAGTGTTGGGAGGGGAGTTGGGAGGGTTCCCGGGCTTGCTCACCAGCCAGTCAAACTGAATTGGAGAGCTCCAGGTACCGGGAAATAACCTGTCTCAAAACTTAAAGTAGAGATCAATTAAGGAAGATGCCTTAAAAGTTGACCTCTGGCCTCCACATAGACACACATGTATGTGTACTCTCACACATTAACATGTATATGCACATACATGTATAAAATAGTAAATTTTGAACTCATTTTTCTTTTTATGTTCATTTTACTTAAACCAATATGCTCATTTTTCACATATGGAATTTATCATTTCACAAATTAATTTGTTGTAAGATTTCTTCTCTAGTGAATTAAAAGACTTATTAAATTTGCCAAAATTGAATTTCCATGATTTTCAGGAATGTGCCTATAATTTGGATAGCATGACATTTTTTATAACTTGTATTTATGTTTACATAACAGCTTATTGTGAACAAATCTCAAAGTTAAACTTAGCATTGATGCCATTAAAACTAAATTTGATCCAAGGGATGCAGGCCTGTTATCTGAGCCCTAGGAAGACTGAGACAAGAGGACTGACAGCTTGAGGCTAGCTCAAACTGTACTGAACGTTTGAAGCCAACCTGAGCTCCACAGTGAGACCTTATCTCAAAAAATGAAACCAAAACTAGAAATTAGCTTGTGTATGTTTAATTTCCAGTGATCGTTTTAAAAGTAAGTGCTCTCAGGTTGGACAGGTGGCTCAGTGGTTAAAAGCATGCACTTCTCTTACAGAGGCCCCAGGTTTGGGTTCCAGCACCCATATTAGGTGATCCACAGTTGCCTGTAACTCCAGCTCCAGGAGACCTGGCGCCTCCTCTGGCCTCCGTGGGTACCTGCACTCATGTACACATACTCACAGACACACATAATTTAAAATAAACTTTATCTTTAATACAAAACAAAAAAAACCAAGTACTCTGTAGTTGTACACTTTGCATCAGGTATGAGAAAGGGGTGTGATAGTGTAATAAAGTGCAACATATGAATTAAATAATATTGAAATACTGTCTCGCACATGTACCAGTCTTGTGGATCTAAGTTATCAGAGCAATTGCTATATCCAGAAGCAGTTTCTTCTATTATGTCCTCTGATATTGTTGCTTCAACATCCACTCAGGCTTTTATTGTCATTCCTAAGATTGAAGATAGGCCAGTACACATCTTGCAAAGATGGAAGAGACAAAATAGAACAATAGGTAAAATAAAAAGAATGCAGCTTTTATTTAAATTTCAGGTGACAGATTCAGGCGCAGCAATGTATCCTGCCATTCCAGCTATTTGGATGGCTGCGGCAGGGAGCTGCCATGATCCCAAGTTTGAGACCTACATAGGCAGGATTGATAGATCCTGCCTTAAAACAACCAAGTATCCTATGAAGCACTAAGTGCTCTGTACCAATGTTCAGTATTTTACTCCTAATTGTGGGCAAAATGACCTTGGGGCATTGAAGTTCTGCTTTTAATAAGGAGTTTTGTATCATCCCAGGTAGCAAACAAAATGCTGCCTCTGCCATGGAGTAAACTGGCTAACCCTCTTGGAATGTGTAACAAAACATGACATGTTTAGAATCAAGGTATTCAGTAAATGCTTTTTTGGATTGTATATATGTGTGTAGATGAATAATTGTATGTTTGGTGTATGTGCATGCAGATATACCCATACCCATTTGAGTGGGTAACTGTATACAGGTTGGCATGCACATGGACTCCAGAGGATGCCATTAGATCTTTTCCTTGTCACTCTCCACTGTATTTATTGAAGCAGGGTCTCTTGTTGAGCTCAGTGCTCACTGATCTGGCTGTTCCTACTATCCACCTTGCTCTGGAAATCCAGTTTCTATCTCCAGGTGCTGGGAGTGCAGGCAGGCCACTGTGCCTGCCTGGCTGTTACGTGGGTGCAGGCTCCAGTCCCTGCACTGGAGTAGCAAATGCTTTATCCCCTGAACCATCTCCCTAGGACCAGGTGGATAGCTTAATTATATAAATTAATTAGGGCATAGTGTGCTTTGGTCTGGTTTATGTTGGGTTTTGATAGTAAATGTTTCATTTTGCTTCTTTAGAACTCTTTCTCTTTTAATTCTTTTCTAAAATCACCCCATTTCACCCCTCCCCCTTTTACTTTTGAAACTTGAGACCTTTGAATTTGGACTGAATTGCATTTGCTTATTCACCAGAGTAATGTCTACAGGCAGATCCTATGCAAGGCCATCTCTAGCTAATGGTTATTCTTTCTCTTGTCTTCTGTGGACAGTTCACTCACTGGCGAGTAGTTATTTCGCTGCTGTCCTGTGCATTCCAGGCACTGTCCTGGGAATACAGCAGTGCCGGGGACCAGCCTGACCCTTCGAGCAGTCCTTGAAGGGAGGAGTGAGGATTAAGAAAGAATAGATAGGAAAAATATAGACGAGGACGAAGAAAAAGACAGAGACACAGGATAGCTTCGGGAGGGCTCCGGGTCAATACCACAGTCTCCTCGAGTTTATTTCTAATGGGCTTTTTATATACCAGCAAGGGGAGAGGCAAAAGACCTCCCCCTCTCAAGGTCAAGGTACAAAGTACAAACAAGTGTAGACCCTTCCTTAATTTTCAGAACACCTGGTAACCATACCTTATGACAAAGCATCTTATAATTAGGTCTTGAAGTATAAGACACCTGGTAACCACGCCTTTGGCCAAAACATCCTATTATGAGCCTTTGTGGGGCAAAGCAAACTCAGACGCTCTTACCCTGAGTCAAGATGGAGTAAGGCCTCACTGTGGAGTCTCTGTGGGCCCCCAACAGCAGTGAATGAAAGACTGGCCTAGCTTGAACTTGTATTTTGGTTTCTTGCTCTGGTAATGAATTTTAGAAAGCTGAAAGGTTAAGATTTCTATTAGTGTCCATATAGAAACTCTGACACATTCTAATAATACAGTGTTCTCATTCAACTCTTGTGAAAACAGTGGTATATGAGAAAAATGAGAAATTTTTAAATTGTGTCTTTTATAATTTCCAAATCTGCCCTTCATTGTTCTTTTTTGCCATGTTAATCAAATGCTCTGTTCTTATGTCTCTGACTTTTTCTAGAAACTGGCAGACCTTTCTCTTCGTATTCAACAAATTGAAACGACCCTCAATATTTTAGATGCAAAGGTTTGTATTTCTAAATACAGGATAAACTTTTCTGTATGTATATCATCTTTCTCATTCATACTTAGAATGTATTTGGGACTGAAATCAATCTAACCCCTGTACCTGTGAAATGATACAGTGTTGCACATTATTAAATATATTAAAATTGGAAGACAATGAATGGTGTTATATAAACATCAACTTAGTCATTTCAAATGAACTCATGGATCGAGAGTTCTTTTATTATGCTAATTACAAGTAAACTATAAACATCATGTTAGCAAATTAAGCTACTATGTGGTTCACATAACTTAATGGAAACTCAAAATTATTTTTTTAAGATTTTTATTTATTTTATGTGCATTGGTGTTTAGCTTGCATGTGTGTCTATGGGAGGGTGTCAGATCCTTTAGAACTGGAGTTACAGACAGTTGTGAGCTGCCATGTGGGTCCTGGAAATTGAACCTGGGTCCTCTGGAAGAGCAGCCAGTGCTCTTGACCGCTCTGGCCCAATTACTTTTATTTTAATGATTATAATGTAGAAATAGTGACACAATAATATAATCGTTAGAATAAAACTTAAATGCCTTCCAAGCAAAATTTATCAACATTGTCTGATATTTTCATTTGTAAATATCTTGGAAGTTAATGAAGAATACCAGTTTGAAATCAGCAATTGCCAAGACGCTGGGTACAGTAGTCCCTGTTGATAATCCCAGTACTCAGGAGGATGATGCAGGAAGATAACGAGTTTGATGCCAGCCTGATCTGTACAGAAAGAAACTGCCTCTTTAAATAGAAAATGAAAGAAACAAACAAAAGGTCCCATGTTACCTGGGAAAATGATTTTTATTTGATTCCTAGAGATTTTGATAAATAAGCGACACATTCAGTTTTAACTTCTTTTGGTTTGTAATGTTGTACATGTTTTTCCTGTTTATGGGGTAAAGGAGAAACTACTGTGTGTTTTTTTTTTTTTCTGCTGTATTTTTGGGATTTTATCCTTCCCTCCTTGATACTCCAAAAAAGTGTTCAGTGTCTGCCTTTGTATGTGTCCATTCAAAAGTGAATTTAATTTTTTTAATTGATCAAAATATTTACTAAATATGTAAGTGGAAAATTTTGTATTTGTGTTAGAATAAGGAAGTAAAGGCATGGTTGTACTTTCTCTGCCCTCTGTGGACTTCAACAAGTATGTTGCCTGAGAACATTTCTCTGGCATAGAACTTTGGAGTACGCGGCCTCGGATATGCTAGGGATATTCTAGCCGTGACAACTGCACCTACTGTGACTTTGGGCCACTGCCACTTGGCTAAGCACAGTCTTGAGTCAGCACTTGTCAATGACTTCTGCTGCTTGAGATCCGATCACCAGTGATTTCTTATACTCTTTCTTATGACTGTGTCTTATTTAATGGTTGGGGAACCCTAAGGTGCTGCCGTCCAAGGACACAAGTCACATTTCCATTTTAGCGAGTTCACCGTAGTGTTTCCCCGACCATAGTACAATCCCCGCAGCCGGCAGACATCTGATAGACATATCACATGTTACCAGGGTAAAATCAGGACGGATTTTTTGTAAATCTAACCCCAAATGCTTATCTTTTTTGTTTTAAAATGCTACCGTTCTAGTCTGGAATGTTGACAATGCGCTTATCTGCTATGAATAAAACGTATTTTAGTAACATCCAATGATAAATGTTTACAAAGAGAAAAATAAGCTGTGTCATATATTAAAGTGTAAAGACACATCTCGTATAATTAAAACTTAAAACGTGCTAGCAGGCTGGGTGGGAGATGCAGGGAAGTACTTGCTGTTACAAGTCTGAGGACCTGAGTTCAGATGGGAGAAAGGAGGATCCAGCCAATCCAGCATTTCAAATGGAGGCACTCCAGGCAGTGAGCGACCCTTTCCTCAGAAGATGGTGAAGAGACAATGAAGAGGAGTCCAGCACATGCACCAGCATGCACACATGTGCACATATGTGCTTGCTAACCCCCACACAGCTACACACACACACACACACACACACACACACGTATATACAACACACTTGCACATACACTGTGTATTGCAGGGTACTTTTCTTTAGCAAGCTATTTTTAATAAAAATGTTTCAGAAATAATTCTATAAAGAAAACTTCCTCATCCTTGTACAGGCAATAAAAGTGGGGGTATAAGGAAGGTTGGCCAGAGGCTCACACAGTATGTTAGCAGCACATACACGTCGGCAGTCAGGTTCCAAAGCCACACTCTCAGTTCTTGCACTAAAATACTCTGTAATCTTAACAATAATTTGTAGGGAAAGAAGGGTTATCAACTAAATTCAACTTTTCAAAAAAATCTTCAAAAGTATTGTGAATGTTTTTCACTTTGAGTTTATGACATAGAGATTGACAATGAAAATTCTGAACCTATGCAATTTGATAGGTTTAAGGGAGCTGAGTAAGAACTCACAGGTAAAAAGGTTTTTTGTGTGCACCTAGAAGGATCTCCCAACACTAATGTCCATTTCTCAGCTGTCATCTATCCCAGGCCTAGAGGACGTCACCGTTGAAGTGTCTCCTTTAAGTGTCCCTGCCGTCCCGAGCGGGTCACATTCTGAAAGCACTCCAGAGCAACCACAGGTAAGTGATTTACAGGGAACATGGTCATCGTGGTTGAGCTGGATACTATGCTTAGACCTTGGAAGATGCTCGGTAGCTGTGAGGCTCTTAGTCGTCAAATCACACAGCCTGAAGCTGCAGAACACGTGTCGAGGGGAAGGGGCTAGCTATTTTGTTTTTAAATTTTATTAAAACTTTATTGTGTATGTCACACCAAAGTTAACAAGACCCCAAGTCTCTGTATTTCAGTGAACCAAAAAAGTGTATTTTGGAAGTTGATGTGTTTGCATCAGCATCCTAATTAGAGCCACTTTGACATCATAATAAGAGCCACTGTACTTGGCTTTGTGCCATAACGTTCCTGTATGCTTCCACACGTTTAGAGCTTCTAACTGTTCATTTAAAAATATCCATTATATGCACATCTCAGTGAGGTCTTGAAATATGAAATAAAACAATCACCAAAATGGTGACCCACTAAAGTAATATTAACAAGGTAGACATCCTATGTAAGCGAATTTTGCATTTCACTTACCTAGAAGTATTTTCACACAGTATTTTTAGGTCATAATGATGTTGTTAATAAAGTTAGTAGCTGAGAAAGGAAGCTTGCTGTATGTCAACACATGTATACTTCTAAGAGTTTTTATTTTAATAATTGAATATATTTAGTCCTCAGAAGAGCCCTATGACCCAAGTATAGTTAGTTGATCTTCTATGCCTGATTCTGCATCTCGGAATTCACCTAGACACACATTAAGGGTATTCAGAAGAAAGAATTTGCATCTATACGGAATGTATGTGGACTCTTCCTTGTCATTATTCCTTAAACAACATAAGTGTTTACATTGTAAAAGGTACTCTAAGTAATCTAAAGATGGCCTAAATCACACTATAGGGTAAGAGTAAGTTAAATTCAGACACAATGCCACTTTATATATAAGATACTCTAGCAACTGCAGATTTCAATATCCTTGGGGTCCTAAGACCAACCCCTGCCGATCCCCAAATACCTATTACTATTAATCACACCTGAATTTCTTAATTTGCTTTGCAGATTCAGAACTGCCTGGTATATGTCTGACAATTTTTGATTTGTAAATTAATTCATTTAGAGTATTTGGAAGTTTTGTAGTCTTTCTGCATTTGTAAAATTGTATTGGGTTTTGTGTTGATCAATCTAATAAAATGATTCTTAAGCATATTAACATTCAGATAAACTTCTCATTTTTTCTTCATTGACATTAACTAGTATATTTTTATATAAAATACTTTGAAAAGGACTTAAGCATTGCTTTATGCAGGTTTTTATGGACATTGTAGTCAACTCAGCTATCCCAGTACATGGAAGGTGGATGCAGGAGAATCAGGAGTTCAAGGTCATCCTTGACTTTGTAGTGAATTGGAAGCCAGTCTAGGCTACATGAGACCCTGCCTCAACACAAAACAATAACAACATCATCTCTTTATTACTGATTCTAACTATGAGTCAGAATCCTGTGGTTTCTATACTGCTTTTTGTGCAACTTTAATTTCATGGCTCAGATCTTATCATTGTTCACAGTAGAGTATCAGTTATTCAGATTGAGATCAATTTGAGAATGAAATGAAAGACAGTTGAGAGAAAGGATTATGAGGCTTAATGAACCATTCATATAGTAAAAGTATGCTAGTGTGTGATTAAACCTTGTTAGGTCTTGGGTGTTGGCACAAGGTAGCAGCTGAGAGTTGAAAACAGAATGGGATGTAGCTCTCATTTGCTCCATTGGGCTTTGGAGGAGCTGTGCATTAAAGACTTAAAACATATGCTTGAATCTTTTTTCTTTTTTATGCTGAACAATGTTTTTGACTCCTGTGTTTAAGTGTTTGGCAGATGAATATGTATACTCATACATATTGTCACTCACTTTTGTAACATTTAACAATATCACATAGTGGAAGAAACCAAAAGAATTTGTACTTGTTTTATTGCTTCAGAGTTTCTTAAAAAAAAAAAAAAAAAAAAAGGTTTGGCTTACATATAAATTATATTAGAAAAACTTCAATTTATAAACATAATTTATGTTCATTTTTTAAAGACTGAAGATGGTTGTTTTGTTTTGTTTCTTGAGAGAAAGGATTATTTTGTTTTGTTTTGTTTTTGTTTTTTCCAAGACAGCATTTCCCTGTGTAGCCCTAGTTGTCCAGGAACTCACTCTATAGACCAGGCTGGCCTGGAACTCAGAGATCCATGCCTCTGCCTTCTGGGTGCATCACCACTGACTGCTTAGCTAAGACTGAAGATTTTTAAAATAATAATTTGTCCACATTTTAGCATAGATGCATTGTAATGGCATCTGTGGAAGAAATTCCTTGAAGAAATTCCTTGAAATGCCAATGCTGACTGAGAGTCACAAAAATGAGTTGATTCTGAGTGTTCAGATTGGTAGGGAAGCCAAGTACTGTGTACTGGTGAGTCTTCACTGTGCCCCAGCTTCTGGTAACCTAGCACTGTGCAGCATCAGGACTGCCACTATTTAAAAACACCGCCCCTCAGTATTTGTCACTGAAGCTAGTATTTAGTATTTTAGCCACTCTGTTAACTTTGTTACCATTAATAACTGCTCATCAACACATAAAACGTACAAAACCAGAGAATCTGATTTTCCCAAGAAATCTCTGAGCATCACTTTCTAAAAACTTAGAATCACCTTATCCATTTAGAATATGATGGGTTAGTAAGTGAGGAGGACAATAGGGTGCATGGCAGATCCCTCGAAAAGTAATTCATTGTCCATAGTTGAGCAGTTGGCAAATCAGACTGTTTTACTAGTTTCCTGCTATATCCACCCGTCATGTTTTATAGGATAAATAAAGGAAAACTAAAAATTCTGATGCCAAGAGTACATTTGCATTTTAAGGAACAATATATTATTGATGATATTAATTTTAGCTTATAAATATTTATAGGTATTTAGAAACATATATCCCATAATTAAATTATTGGTATTTAAATGCAAGAATATAATTTTAAGTATGTATTACCTTATAATTATAAAAATAAACATCCCTTTTAAGTAACATGACAGATACTTTCTGTGACTTGTCTAAAGATTTACATAAACTCTCTACAGCAGGACAGCACACAAGACTCTGGACCACAGGAAAGTGAAGTTTCTTCAGAAAATACCGTAACTGTAGCCAAGGATCCAAGATACGCCAGATACCTCAAGATGGTTCAAGTGGTGAGCTAATTTATCTGTCTTCTCTGTCTAAACCTGCAGATTTCACTGTTATTTTTCCAATTTCCAGAAGTCCAATATTTCCCATTAAATCCATTACACTGGACTGGAGAGATGGCTCAGTGGTTAAGACCACCAACTGCTCTTCCAGAGGACCAGAGTTCAATTCCCAACACCCACATGGCAGCTCACAACTGTCTGTAACTCCAGTTCCAGCAGACGCGACACCCTCATAAGACATACGTGCTAATGCTCCTAAAATAAAAATAAATAAAATGAAAAGTTTAAAATCAATTACACTGCAAGTTGACATAGGTTAGCAGTTCAGTGTAGATTTGTGCCATTATTATTGTATTTGAAATCTTGGCTCTATCAGAAAAACGAAACAGGGCTGTTCCTCTGGTAAATCAATACTGGAGTTTGCTTCTCTTGTGCTACTGTAAATACGGTTTTAAAATATATTCTGTTTCGATGTTCATTTATCAGTGATTTGGTTTATAAAGAAAGAACACAGCTCTCTTGGCTACATAAGAGAATAGTTTTAATAGTATATGCCTTTATGTTTTTCTAAGCAATTATACATGGTCTGATGACAAATGTTTGTGGTTGTCTACAGCAGCAGAAGTACATTTACTCCTATACTTAAAGAAAGCCCTACTGCAAGTAACTGAAAGAGCCAACAGAACATTGTATTTCTGCTAATCAAAAAAATTAGCCAGACGGTGGTGGCACACGCCTTTAGTCCCAGAACTCGGGAGCAGAGGAAAGTGGATCTGAGTTTGAGTCCAGCCTGGTCTACAGAGTGAGTTCCAGGACAGCCAGGGTTTCAAAGAGAAACTGTTTTGAAAAACCTAAAGAAAAAAAATTAATGCTTTTATAACATTTTGTTATCAGACAATAAAACAAAACAAAAAATAGTACTATAGACTAGAGAATATATTTGTGTCCCAGCCAGTGGCATTATTTACCACCACAACGACTTCAAGGGAGATACTGCTGTCTTATGGCGGAGAGCGGAGTGGGTACTGCAGGTCTGCAGAAGTAGTGATGAAGGAGAAGCCATGCCTGCCCCTCTGTGTGACAGAAGCAGATCTGTCACTTTGGAGTGGTCCGTTGACAGTCAGTGGACTGGCCTCTAGGTTTCAGGAGTAAGGTGGACTTTGGGGTAAGAGTGTTTACATTTTTAGGCATTATTACACTGACATTCTTTTTTTCCAGTTGTGTTTGGTTCTATTGTAGGTCTCTGGGCCATCCAGCCTCTGGGTTCTGGTCTTCCAGGCAGTGTCAGGCATGGGTCTCAAGCTGGACCAGTCATTGGTTGGCCACTCCCTTAATCTCTGTGCCACCCTTATCCTAGCCTGTCCCATAGACAGGACAGACTGTAGGTCAAAGGTTATGTGGCTGGTTGGTGTCCCAGTCCTTCCACTGGAAGTCTTGCCTAGTCACAGGAGGCGGCCAGTTCAGGCTCTGCTGTTGCTAGGAGTGTTAGCTGGGGTCATCCTTGTAGATTCCTGGGAATTTCCCTTGCACCAGGTCTCTACCTGACCCCGGAATGTCCCCGTCTGCTCTACTCATAGATTGGTGCCTAGGTCAGTAGTCATCAGAGAGGCTTCATCCAGCAACCGGTGGAAACGGATGCAAAGACCACAGCCACACATTAGGCTGAGCTCAGGGAACCCTGCTGAAGAGAGGGAAGAAGGATTGTAGCAGACTGAGGGGTCAAGGACATCTTAAGAAAAACCACAGAATCAACTAACCTGGGCCCATAGGGGCTCACAGACTCTGAACCAACAACCAGGGAGCCTGCATGGGACTGACCTAGGCCCTCTGCCTGTATGGGACAGTTGTGTAGCTTGGTCCTCTTGTGGGACTCCTTACAGTTCCTGGCTTTGGGGACCCTTTTCCTCATACTGGATTGCCTTGCCCAGCCTTAATACAAGGGGAGGTGCTGAGTCTTACTGCAACTTTATATGCCATGCTTTGTTGCCACCCATGGGAGGCTGCCCCTTTCTGAACAGAAACAGAGGAGGAGTGGGTGGGGGGGAGGGGAGAGGGAAGGCCGTCGGGTTGAAGGGGAAGTACTGGGAGGAGAGGAGGGAGGGGAAATTGCGGTCGTGATGTAAAATAAATAAATTTTGAAAAAAAATTATAGAAATAATTACAAATGATAAGTATGAGAACACTTTGTAGTAATAATAAACTTTCTGGATTAAAAAAAGATGTATAAGCCGGGCGGTGGTGGCGCACGCCTTTAATCCCAGCACTCGGGAGGCAGAGCCAGGCGGATCTCTGTGAGTTCGAGGCCAGCCTGGACTACCAAGTGAGTCCCAGGAAAGGTGCAAAGCTACACAGAGAAACCCTGTCTCGAAAAACCAAAAAAAAAAAAAAAAAAAGTATAAATTTTTAATAAGATCAAGAAAGAGTTCAGCTTGAATATAAATAACAATGAACCCAGGAAAGAGTATACTTGCAAGATAAATTCTTAAAAACTTTGTGGTTTTCAAAATAAGAAAGAAAAGCCTTCAGAATGACACATAAAAGCTTTTTCTGTGAGTGTCTTCTGATGTAACCCACCTAAGAAATGAGAAAATGGACTCAGGTTTTCTGAAACCTCTCATCTAGGACTAGATAGCAGACCTGTGTTCATGGTGCCACTCCCCACAATCGCAGTTAACCAGTCAGCTGCCATCTGGAAACGCCAAATGGGAGCTTTCCTAAGTAAACAGTTCATCCACTTGAAATGAGTTGCTGTTCTGATGCGTTCTCACTGGAAGGAGTCTTCCCCTGTCCATTGCATCCACCCGTGTACACGATCCATGTAGCCTGTTAGTCATCACAGTTAGCAGACAGCCTGCTGCACTACTGGAGAACGTGTAGGCAGGGTCAGCCCTCTCAGGTGTCTGCCTGGCAAGTCTCACAGCTCCTGCAGACGGGGGTGGGGGAAGGGGGGGGAGGACACACTGGCTGTGTCCACTCAGGTCACAGATGTGTCCTAAACACTTAAGAGATTACATCAGCGAGCCAGACCAGCTAACACTACCAAGCTACTTGGAGTTTTGATTTTTGTTATTAATTACTTAAAATAAGTGTTCTCTCTCTCTCTCTCTCTCTCTCTCTCTCTCTCTCTCTCTCTCTCTCTCTCTCTCTCTCTCTCTCTCTCTCTCTCTCTCTGTGTGTGATGGTCCTTTATCATTTTTTTCTGATCATACAACCTACCATCTCACTGGATACGAAAGCCAGAGCCCTCAGGAGGCCTATGCGATAGATCTTCTCTAAGTTATCTGCCCTGTTACCTTTCTGATCTCTGTCCTCATTCACTCTGCCCTAGGTCACCTGGCCTCTGTGATGTTCTTAGCTAGGTGTGTGGTCAGTCCCCTGGCTTGGGGTCTTTCACATCAGCCATTCTCTGCCTAAAATACTTTTCCCCAATAGCTGCGTGGCTCACTCACTATTTCCTTCAAATCTTCATTTAAAATAGTACCTTCTAAGTGAGGACTTAGTCACCCTTCTTTAAATGACAATCTCCTCTGACCTTGTTTTCAGAATGATAAATCTATAAAATACAGGTTGATGGCACCACTCACTGAATTGGAATCTCTAGATGTGGAAGTCAGAGCCAGATCATATATGTTTTTAAAATGGTTTCTAATTTAAAAGTATTTTAAAATCATTTTATTAATGCGATTATAAATTTTTATTTAAAATATTTTTTTAAAAATAAATGTTTTGTTAAGGAAGAAGGAAAAAACATAGCTCTTTAGAAGTGCTTGACTTAACTCTAGACCGTCTTTTTTGCCCTGTGCCTGAATGTAGCAGTGGACCAGTTTGAAATCAACCTTCTCGGACTTTTTCAGATGCGAGCAGTGCCCCTGTGTTAAGCTGCTGGCTTTCCTGAGCCTGGGGTACAGGTATCTCTGTGTTCTGGGCTCTGGAAGTAGCTCCTTCGTGGGATCTCCCTCTTGGGACACATGAACGTGGCCTTCATCTATCACACTGCCTCATCAATCATTCTTCTCTCTGCTTTTAATTTTCAAGCATTGTGGTTCTTACATGCCTCTCGGTCATTGAAGTTGAGGCTATTTTCTAATTGTTTGGGGGTGGTTTTCAAGCAGAAAGGGAGAAACAAGATCTTCACCCCACCATCCCCAAACTGGAAGTTCATCCAAGTTAAATTTAATTTCATTGTTTTTAGTTCATTGTGCCAACCTGTATCCCAGACTCTTATTACCCAACTTTTATTTCCTACTGCTCCTTGTCCTGAATTCCATTCTTCATTCAAACCAAACCACAAATCCTTCCTCGCATAAGCGGTACAATGCTTTTCCAGCTCGGAACCTAGATTCTGCTTCTCTTAATTACTACTTTTCAAATTCTGCTCGTCTCACGTCCCAGATTCTGAATGTACCAGTTCATAAAGCTAAAAGAGTAGCTCCCTTCCTTAACCTAGCCAGCCATTTTTTCTATATTCATTATGGAATTTGTTATTTCATACCTTTCTCTATGGAAAAACATATAGAGAGAGAGAGAGAGAAAGAGAGAATATCTCCAGTCGAAAGGGGAACTGTATGAGGAGAAACAGCCTTGAGGAATCTCTGTATTCACTTCAGCACTTGTGCTGGATAATTTTTTTTGTCAATATGACACAAGCTAGGGTCATTTGGGAAAAGGACTCTTTGTGTTATGATCTTCATCATAGTGATAGCAACCCCAACTAGGACAGCAGTATAAGGGTGCTCAGATAGTCTTTCCAACCACAGTGTGATGCTGCCCTTCTGCTCTCTGCTCCAGCTTCAAGCAGGGTGGAAATGCATAATTAGCTCCTGTTTCTCCAAGTTGTTGGTTTTAAATGTTTTATAGGACAAGGTAAGATGTGTCACTCAATGTTAACACTTATGTAAACACTTTCTGATGTTTCTTATGTTGTGAGTAGCTGTCAAAATTGGAATTGGACAAACATGATGGCGTTACAGTCTGCTTTAGAAAATGCCTGACGGTAGAGCCAT